TGAGCGCAACCCGAAAAGAAGGAGTTCCTGTGTGAGAGCGCAGTGACATATATATATACAATTAAACACGTCGCGCGTAAGTTGGAAGTTGTTTTTCTTTGCAGAAACCATGCACTGTACATACACATACATGTTAAATGTCAGTGATTAGCCACTAAAGTGTGCAAAACCACCTGCCGATGTTCGTTCAAGCCTTGCGGAAGCTCCACTTGCCCAAATTTATAAGAGATACAGCCACGAAGACACAGCACTCAGCCGTGACAAGTCCAAGAAGTCTAGCTTTCCTCTATTGTATCAAAGTAAGGTATGGGCCCAAGGAAAAGCCACCGTGCCAGGAAGAATCTACCAAAACAGTTTTTTGCACCAAGACCCTGCGCGCGGAAGCAAGCCGTAAAGAAATGCAAGCCACTTTCACGGTGGAAGGTTGGCGCAGGCAGTTGCGCAAGCTTTGTGTTACGTCCATTACGAAAAGAAAGGGAAAAAGCAGAATTCCTCAGATCAAGAAATTGTAACTGTAAAGAATTGTACGTGCAAGTTTTTTGGCAGCTTACAACTGAATCAATAGCAGGTTTGCTCCTGTAATGTGCATCTAAGGGATGGTATCGACACGGTTCAGTGCAGATTTTTCTGGCAGTCCTTACTATGCCGACCAACAGAATGTTGATTTTGATGCTTTGGCAAATCAGTGAGGGTGGATGTGCCGGAAGAAGGCACCATGTGTTTTCTGACCGATCTTCCTTTCTTGCCTGTTGGCATGTAGGTTTTCTTGTCATGTAGGTCTTGACAAGAAAGTTAACCATGCAGTCTAGTTATGGGCCAGTTTGACCAGCAAGTTCTTGACATGAAACCCTTCGAGCAAAAGCTCAAACTTGACACAAACAGAATAGTTAGTTTTTTTATTCATGTTCTTTTAGAGTGCTGAGACTGTGAAGACATGAGGAGCCGTGGAATACATCTTTATCACCGTTGAAGGATGTCGTGGTGGGAGGTGGCGTAGTTGAGTCATTCGCTAGTAGTAACAAGTGCCACGCTAGTAGTAACAAGTGCCTCGCTACTAGTAACAAGTGCCTTACTAGTAGTCACAAGAAGCTACTAGAAACAAGTGCCCGACGACCTCGTGGTGGCAGGTGGCGTCGTTGAGTCATTCGCATTCATGTCTACGCTTCCACCGGAAAGTCCCCGACGACCTCGCCGCCCCGCTCGCCGGGGTTTAGCTGAGGCAGACACTTGGAGTGACTAAATCACACGAATCAAGAATATGCGTGAGGAAAAACACTCACTTCAAGTTAACAAAGAAGCTACTAGGAACAAGTGCCACGCTAGTAGTAACAGGTGCCTTACTAGTAGTAACAAGTGCCTTACTAGTAATAACAAGTGAGGAAAAACACTCACTTCAAATCAAGTTGAATTAAATTGTGTGGTCACTTCTTGATGATGTGGGTGTTCGTCTAAATCTGCGATAGTGTTTTGCCAGCCCGTTCATGTGTCACAAGCCATTGCCACACTGCCTCCTCTGAGGAGTTGGAAGACGAAGGAATTTTGTCGCTGCAACAAGCGGTTGGCATAAGCAGTTCAATTCTGGCTATGGTCGGGGTGGCGTGGGCTGCAGGAGATTCTTTGCCATCCTTTCAGATAGTCAGAAAACCACTACGTACAATCATACTAAGGTTGCAAGCCATCTTAAGAGTAGTCAGTAGTTCAGAGCGGAGATGTATGACTGAGTCACTTATTGGGCTCATCGTCTCATAAAGGTCCTTGCAATGATTTGTTTCCCTAACCTCTTTTTCTTTCTGTCTTGGAGAAGCTCTGTCAGCGTCGCTTTGCCTTGCCGTCCTTGCCATGATGCATTTGTTTAATGATGCGTAAGTTGAGTGAACCCAGTGCAGCCATTCTTGCTCAGGGTGTAAAAGGCTTTGAGGTTTGGAAGACAGGTGCAAACTGAGGCCTTGCCCCCGGAAGCAAGTGGGGACATGTAGTTTGTGCCAGCTTTACAGGTCGCCTGGCATTTTTCTACTCGTTCAAACAGTAACAAGTCAGCATCCCTTGCTTGCCTTTTGCTAACTTCGACACCTATGTAGTGGGGAGGGGGTAACAAGCTACAGTTTCTACGGCATGTGACTGTTTGCAAGAAGGCCTATCAACAGAAGAAGGAAGTGGAGGCTTCTTAAGGTAAAGTTCAGGTAAGGACCAGAGAAAGCAGTTCACCAAAGCTGTCAGCAAGGTCACCAGTCAGGTGCCGTGCAGCGCACGAAGTGCATAGATAGACTGTGACTGTGGCAGTTTGTTCGACAGCTCGTGCAAAATCTATCGACCTTGGAACTCTTTCTCAAAGAACTGTGCCCTGATGAGTAGAAGGCGCCGGAAAAGCGCGAGCAGGAGACACATGACATGGGCTTGGAAGGAGGTCACGGCTTGATCAGGTCGTTGAAGACCCAACCTGTAACGTAGTTGAGGCTTAGGTCCTAGGTTCCCTTTCTGTTTCTTTGTCAGCTTCAAGGCTGTTGTTATGGGTAACAGCTGTATTGATGGGCTTGCGTACTCGGTTGTGTTGCAGCCGGGCGCTCAAGTTTACCTGCAGAGCATCGCTTCCCAGGTGTCATCGCCCCAGTTTGTCATTGATAGCTTTATCAAACCTTTGGCGTCCATCAACAACTACACGGAGGAGTTTTTGCAGGAGCTGGTTGTGCGATGTGTGCCAGGCAATTTTTTATTATTTGATAGTAATTCTATATGATGCCCACTGTTTGTTTCTATTTGATAGTTGTATTTGGCTATTGTGCTGCGATGTGCTGCGTGTGAACTCGGAAAAGCATGCCGGGTCAAAGTGGTCAAAGTGCACGTGCCTCTGCAGTGTTTGCCGTCCGTGAAGCGGTAGTCAGACATTTCCAGTCACTATAGTGCGCAATTTAGCCAACTTCTGGCGCTTAGTAACAATCTGTGATAAGCTCACCACTTACACCCGGGAAGAATAACAGTTCAAGAAAAACTGTGGTGTATGTTAGTGTGAGTGTTTGGCCTATATGGATGAGGTTGGAAGGCGGTTCATTTTAGTGGGGGAAATCACGAAAGACAAACACCACTTCTTCTAGCCAACAGCCTAACATGGATGCATTTTCAGCGTAAATAGACCTGGACCTGTGTTGGTCCATGTTATCTCTTGGGCCTGCTCATATCTTCTCGGTTCCACCCTGTTCCACACTGTCCTGTTTATCTTCCTCCCTCTTCTATTTAATATAGGGCTTGCTGGCTGCTGATGCTCGAAATCTCACTCTATATTTCCGAGCGAGTACTCGCATGTGGAATCTAGTCGCTTGTTATTTTTCCCCGGAGTAGCTTGGACAGCCGGCAGCATGAAGTGTGGATGAGTCAAACAAAAGAAGTCTCTATATTCACACTATTTGTGGACCCTCTTACAAACTGTTTAGTCATGCCTGACTTACAACTTGCAAGTGTTGTTGGATATATGTTCAAACCCACTTGAAGTTGTTCATTCTTCAGGTGGTACATTTTGGATAAAAGTGGATTGAACAATAGAGTGATTATGTAGAAAAACACTTTACAATCCCAACTTTACAATTGCAACCAGCTGGTGATGCAAATGATATGATACAGCAGGGAACATATAGTAAGACATAAATGACATGTGCAAACCATGTGTATTTCTCCCGCCCCCACTCGTCTCCCAGACACCCCTCATCATGCAAGATATGCATTTTCGTATGAAAGTGCACCCCCCCAGCGGTGAACGCGACCCAACGCAATCACGCCCCCGCAGCACCGGCGGTGCGGGCAAATTTTCAGAGCGTGTCATTTCGAAGAGGTTCTTTTGACGGAGGCGCACCACGAGAAACAATAAATAGATTAGAATTGGAATTATGCTGAGTTTTCTGGAGAAAACAAATCACACCTACTCATCTACCTCAGTTGGTTCTAGAGCGTCGACAAACCAGTTCACAACGCAGACTTGAGCTACAACTTCTGTCCTTTTTTGCCCGCATCACTTCGCATGGCTTGGCGTCGCGTTGTTGCACTTAGCACGTAGCGCACAGTGTGGTGTTGCTGTGCCATGCGGTTGGCGAGGCCGCGGGCTGAGTGGCGCGTGGATTCTGGGGGGTGATGCCTTTTGGTGTTCTTCGCAGCATCACTGGCTAGCCACGTCGCATAGTTTCAGCAACCAGAAGTCAGCAACTTGCGAACCACTCATCAGCAACTACCCGTTTCAGAAACTGAGTTTCAGCGATCGCATTTCAGCCAACAAGATGTGCGTTTTAGCAACCAATCGTTCACGAACTAAAGCGTTCAGCGACCGCTCAATCCTAGCAGTTTCACGCAGTTGTTCCTTGAGCGCGTCCCGATCGTTTTCACAACTTTGCCTTCAGCGTCACGGCCTTGTCACCCGTTTCACAACATTGTCATCGCATGGCCGTGTGATTAAACGCAACTAACCATTTCAGCAACCAAACATTCCTGGCAGCTTCCGCAGTTTTTGGATCACATCCTGCTGCTCTCGCTGCCACTGCCACTGCCTGTTTTCTATCCTGCTCATTTAGACGTTGGTCTCTTCGACAGAAAAGAGCGGTTCCGAAAGATACCGTTTGCTTACCGAAGCAGACACGTTGGTTGCCGAAACGGGTACCGAAAGAGACATGTTGAATGCCGAAACTATTTGCCGAAGCAGGCAGTTTGGTTCGCAAAGCAGACATTGACTCGGTTCAGAAGCATTGCCATAGCATTCCCGACAGCTTGGTTTCAAAATGTTGCCTGGTTTGACGAATTGGTCATTGGTTGGCCATTCATCAAGGACACCAGCGCCGCTTCAAAAACAAAAAGGGTCCACGAATGCCTTGATATTAAATTTCGACGCAAAACTAAATATCCTATGCAGGTCTTGTGGTTCGCGGGGAAACGGATATTCAAAGCACAACGGGTGGGAAAACATCGCGATCGGCGATCGCGCAAAGGCTGTCCACCGGTGCCCCCCCCAGCCCGATGCTGCCTGGGTCCATGCGCGTCTCACCAACCTAGAAGCGATGGCCTCCAACCTAAGAGCAATGGCGTCCAACCGAGGAGCGTCCTTTGTGACTAGTAGCGATGCCACGAGCCCCTAGTAGCTTCTTGCTCCTAGTAGCGATGCCCTTTGCTCCTAGTAGCTTCTTGCTCCTAGTAGCAGGGCCAGGCGCCCCTAGTAGCGTCCTGGTTCCTACTAGCGATGGCCTCCAAGGTCCTGTAGCGCCGTAAGTGGAACAACCCAAGATTTGGGCAGCGAAGCAACGCCAAAAAGACAGCAATGACACCAACATGTTAATAGCGACCCTGATGATTGTTATCCAACCCTGGCCCCGCCCAATGTCCCGCCAGTGAGGCAAAACGCGTTGGCGACAGCTAAATATTCAACTTCTGTGTTCATGATAACCTTTTGATTAACCACAACAACCGCAAAGACAAATTAAGCATCGTGACAGGGCCGGAGACAAACTGTGAAGACAAGTACAAAGCACAAAGACAAAGCGACAGGCCGCGACAGCAATTGCACACCAAGTGGAATGACAACGTCAATCCCCACAAGCCAATGACATCCCAAACCAACCATGAGACTTATTGCGCACTGTTTCTGACCGTGCGTTTGCTTATGTTCTGTGTAGCATGACATCTATTGACCTTTGATGCCCACATACCCTATGGCCATCTATGGTCCCAAAGTGTCTACGACGGATTCATGCTTAGGCTTGTCCATTTGTGAGACCATCAGATATGGGGTGCACAGTCCGCGCCATTGGCTGTTGCTGACGCCAGGCTGTCCTGGCGTAAACAAACGAGCAACTCCACTGTTATGCACAGTCCATATACATGCACAACTCCTGTGGTTTCTTCAGCTTCAGCGCAAGGACCCATACCTCTTCGCCCCAAGGCGAAAGTATTGGCCAGTGGCCCGTTTAGCCAAAGGAATTGATGGAGACATCGGGGAGAAAACTTATTATGTCGGGGATGGTTTTAGCTACTCAGCTCAATGCCGATGTCCACAGCCGGAATTCTGACAATTGGAAGAGAGACACTGGAAGACCAAAGAAACACTACCTACTAGGGATGGACTCCATCCTAATAGCGATCGCCTCCAACCTACTAGCGATGGCCTCCAACCTAATAGCGATGGCCTCCAACCTGATAGCCATCGCCTCCAACCTACTAGCGATGGCCTCCAACCTAATAGCGATGGCCTCCAACCTACTAGCGATCGCCTCCAACCTACTAGCGATGGCCTCCAACCTGATAGCGATGGCCTCCAACCTAATAGCG